TAAAAATAATAAAAAATAAAATTGTTTATTTTGATAAATAAATTATTAATTACTTGTTAAATAATATTTTGTGGAAATTTATCTATGTAATTTAATAATTATTTAATTAAATCTTATGAGTTTTCATGCCAATAACTGTTTTATGAGGAATCAATTGTGATTTTAACTCATTTTAGGCGCCTCAATTATGATAGAAATCTGTTCTGTTCAGTTCTTGTCATGCTTATAAAAAAATGAAAGTTAATTAAAAACCAGACATATGAAATATTGAGAAGACTTGCTTTGGTGGCATAGGAAAATGTGAAGAGAGCAACTCAGATTTGTAATATCAACAAATAGTTCTCAAGCAGAAGCAACTTTAACTTGTAGAGCTAAAATAGATAGTGATAGGGCCATTCAGACTATACGAACTTGATTATATTTGAACAAGTGTTTAATGAGCAGTGAAAGGCTTACAGCTAGCCGTCTGGCCCATGCTTATCGGCAATGAAAATTTACAAGTATACAGTTTTGTAGGCCCCTCTGCCAGGGCATGCGATCAAAGGTGACAGCAAGCATATAGAGAGGCCGGGCTAGTCATTGAACTTGTGATAAGGTGGCCAAATAGTTGCCAGAAAACTAGCCAGCCTGACTCAAGTCTTGCTTGGATCACTGACATGTGCAGAAAATCGGATGACTTATTATCAAAGTCCATGCCTGGCGAGAGTCTGGTGTTTATTGTGGGCCCTGGCCTGATAACTGTCGGGGCCCCCAACATCGTCGTCTCGCTGACGTGGTTAATCGCACAGCAGAACTTTGATACTCACGTCATTGGAAATGGTTAATTCTTGATCGCGGAATACGAAATCATTGTCGGCGCATCGCTCGGCGTTATCCCTGTTGTAATTACTCGCCACGCAAATGTCCGCAGTCTGATTCCAGCTGGACAGCTGTTTGTTCTCATAGCGACGGCACCTGTCCAAATCCTTGCCATTCTTTGGTATGCTATACTCTGTCCAGGGCTCCACGTAGCGGCTGTTCGGCCCGTCGCACTCTGTAATGTTACATCTGTTGATTTGAAGAGTTTCGTTTGAGACTCGTCTCACCGACCAACTGACTAAGCTCAACTATAGTTCACCTGTGCATCACAGTTCCGGCCGTGAAGACGTAAGTCACCGAGAACATGGCATGGAACATCATCGGCAAGCAGATCAGCAGGAAGATGAACAGCTGAAAGCGACCGAACTGCCCAATGTGCTTCAGTATGGCATCGAGGGTTATGTCCTCGGGATCGGGGCCATTTGCTTGGGTGGCCACCTCCATTTGGGGAATGGTCGCAGGTGGCGACTCCTCGGTGGCCGGCATTGATCCCAAGTTCTCTTCACAAATTTGTGCACAATTAATGAACTATTCCGTGTTTATTTATACGCGTGTGTTTTGAATGATTTCGCTTTCTTCTTATTTTTGCCAAGTTTATTTTTAACTGCGAACAACTCTTACGTTGTTCACGGCACGAAAACACGAGACACACTGCGAGCGTCGGATCGCAACTACAGGGCGATCGCCCAACTGTTGAGTCAATCTATGGTGTTTCGCCCTCTCTCGCTCTGTCTGTTCCTCTCTCATGATCTCGGCA